TATATATATATATGCCTTTCGCGCGAAAATTGGAATACCGCAAACCAACACAATCAGGCTCGTGCCGTTGTGGTGTCGGCCACACAACAAAACATCCCGCACTTTAGCTTGATACACACGTCGCTTGAGATTCAGGGATACACCACTTTGACGGTATAGGTGTCTCAAATTAGAAAACTCGATCATGGCCCTGGAGATTCATGCATTGGTGGTCTACTAGAGGCATTCGTAGGTACGTACACCTGCATACGCTTGGTCACTCTGGATGGAAATTGACGAAATCACCGTCATTGAAGTCGCCTGGAAACTATATCTTACAGTGTCTTTAGCCAAGCAAAAAGAGGAGCATGCAAAGTCTATCTTGAAGGAAGGGTTACATGGGCTCCTCGAGTTTTTGAGAAGGCTTTCACAGTCTTTCTTCAGATCAAAGGTTGATCTCACGTCTGCCTGTGCCACTCTGCATCAGGTATTCTCTTTGTAAAACGACGATGACTCAGTGGTTAGAACGCGAATTTAATGACCGGAAGGTTTGTGGTTCGAACCTGACCTTCGTCAATCGACTTCTCCTGTCTAGGCCTCGGCAACCTGGTAGTATCTCAGCCCTCGTGCTTCCTTCGTGTGGAATGGCAGCTAGGCACCGAGGGTGTTACAGATGAGCGATTAAGACGATGATTCAGTGTGTGCAGTACATAAACACTATCCCAGACTTTGGTTTTGGACTGAAGTGCTGCGGATTCATTGGTATCAGCCAATGTGAGCAATAGTTCTGAGACCTGAAAACGTCTCAGTTCCGCTGCTCACGAAGCCCGCATCCCACAACCGTCTAACAAAACATGCCGTACCGTAGTCTGACATGCACGTTCTTTGGGATACAGAGAATTATCGCTTTGTAGCGATAGGTATCTTAACCTGGCAATCGCGATCCGAGCCTTAGAGATCCGTGTGGCACCAGTGTCGGGATTTACAAAACTTCCCAAATATGTTAAAAGCCCCCCACAGCATCGAATGCACCTCTTTGGAATGCAGATGACGTTTCAGTGATAAAGGACTTTAGATAGGTCATCTGAAAACCTTGTCTTCTCCTCTTCGATACGGGGACGAAGCAAACAAGATATTCCGGACCGATAAGCTTTTCGTCAGCAGCTATCCAAACACCGAGACGCTGAAGCCTTCCAGAGTTCGTCTGATTATTGCATCAACCAGAAGTTGGGAAAAAAGGAGGGGGGCATAGTTCTGTGGCGCCAATTTTGTAATGGAGCTGCTGAAGAGCTTCCGGCATACTGCTGTGCTCCCAGCAGTTTGGAAAATCAATTAACTTATTGTATTTAAAATAACGAGTATTCATTGCTGAACAAGTGTATCAAAGCCAGTGAAACGCTCCTTGGAAATTCAAAAATATCAAAACCATGGGTCGCTTATACATATGGCACCGTTCCGATACTCCATAAAGTGTGAAGATATGGTCAACGCAACCACTACCAAGCCGAAATCTGGCTTGCTCTTGGACGAGTTACCACTCGATTTCACGAAATTTCCTGAAAAGAACGCCTTTACCTTTGGTGATTTGAACTTGTGAAGCCAAACACAATACGTCTGACCGTAAGGTTTAAAACTTCATCGGTTTGTCTAAGGAGCTCTACCAAACAAAGTAGTTAGCAGTAACACCCAAAATTTAACAAATGTACTATTAGAGTAAAAGATTAATCTATAGGAAAATTTTCAGGAACGGTTGCAGGAATGGTAGCACTTGCGAATATGCGCAATCATTCCCAAGTCGAGTTTGAAACATATTACAAAAACGCACATGTAGCGCTACAAAAATAGCTGAACACCAGAAAGAACCAACAAATATAACTGTCACACAAGAAAGAGTACACAGGCGTGCTAGTTCACCTCCGATGCTGAGAACATGGAACAAAAACATTAAGAGTTTAGCTATGAAAACCAACAGCACTTGCTAAACCGGAGGAAACTTAATAAAACCACGTTCTGTTCAGCAATGAACCAAGTACTAAGGGCCTATTGGCTCCAGATGCTACAAGTTCTGTCATCAGGAAATGGAAGAGCAAGGGAGGTACAACCAAACATTGGAGGCACTGAGACGATCAGGTGGTTTGGGAAACCAGAAGGCCACGCATTGAAGGCGATGTCTCTGGTGCACCAGCCCCAATAGCCGCGTGACCGAGCCGTAGCTGTCACTGTCATTAACCGTTGGTGAACTGAGTCCCTGGGATTTTAATCCAGGGAGGCAGAAGTTGTCAGTCCGACTGAGTTCAGTGCTTAGTGTTTTCACACTTCTTTCCAAAGTCATACACTGTCCGCCTCCCGGTCGATTCCGCTTAGCACAGGGCTGGGTGGAAGCCGCTCTGCGACGCGGACGGTCCTCGGGTATGCGGAGTACATGTCCTAACCAGTGTAACCTACGAAGTGCAACTCATCCAGGTGGGTGTGCGACGCGGCGGTCCTCGGGTATGCGGAGTACATGTCCTAACCAGTGTAACCTACGAAGTGCAACTCATCCAGGTGGGTGCGTTTTTCTTAAAGCCATCTGACGTACCTTAACACTGCTAATCCGATGTTCCCGCCAAACTCGATTAATGTTTCGGAGAAACCGGTTGTCAAACACTGACAACTTCGTTCGTCCTTTGTGCATGGAGCCCACGTTTCTGATCCATAAAGCAGTATGGACGACACTGCCGTAGTGCCGTAGATGCAACAGTAACATTAAGCGTTCACGTGTAACGCCATTTGGAGGTCAGTTAGCAGGCCACTCGGAGAAACCATGGGAGCTGAGATAACGCCAGGTTGCTAAAGCCTAGACAGAACCATTCAAGATATCGAGGCTGGATTCGAAACACGGACTACCCGGAAGTTCGACCCTTAACCACTGAACTGTCTCGAGCTCACAATAAGATGTGGACGAACAAAATACCGCACACGTAAGTTGCCAATCAGCTTCACCACAAGAGTAGGTGCAGAGTTTTCTGCTCTCATTTAGCCTCCGCCAACTGCAGCACCAAAATCAGTATCAGCAATACCATCACCACCACCGTTGACAGCGATACCAAATGAAAACACGAGTAGTTCACTGCCACACAATTATGTAAATTTATTTAAATGGGGCCTCATAACGGAAAGAAGAAAGGAGTGTGACAGGAAGGGGGATCTAAAACTAGTCTAGCACAAAATTCCACAATGCCTAGTCGGATAATCTAGATGGAAATCGACAGTAGTAGTAGCCGAAATATTTTTCAGTGTATCCAGGCAAGCACATTGAGAGTCACATCGACCCCATCCTTCATCCTCTTCAGCCAGGTCAAATTCAATCCGCTTCTGGGTTTTCGCAACTCCAAAACGGCGGTAACTCGCCGTGCAAAACATATGGCCGGGACAACTTCGCTTGCAATACTGGATGCAATCTTTGATTCAAGTAGTGTCCGCTTCATCGTAAATCTCATTCGGAATTCGCTGGTTGCAGCCGATTTCAGCCACAGTTCCAAGATACCGATGGTCAAAGACCTGAAGATGTCTCAATCTTCGCGTGAAGTGGTCAGGTATGGTCGCTTGGAGGTATAGGTACCACAGAATGCTTGACATAGGCCAACACAAGGTCCTCTCCCTCACCCACTCTTCTATTCTCTTCACTCTAAGGCTTTAAATATAATTAGATTTATTTTATGGTTGCACTTCAGTAAGGATTCAGTACAAACACTGGTGTTGCTGTCTCAGATGGTGCTGTCTCGCAACCGTACGACAATAAAGCCCGCACAGTAGTCCGATATATGCGTCCTTCAAAACCCAGGGAAACGTCTTTTTGACGCGACAGTGGACGCAAATTGGCAAACAGTCTGGTCTTTGTGATTCGCGCAATCACTTCGTCCATCACAATAAAATTAGAGCTAACGGAACTTCCAAGATACGTGCGGTGTTCAACAACCTCCAGTGTCACTCCTTGAATTCTCAGAAGCATTTTAAAAGGTAGTACGTCCTGTACCATGACTGCAGTTTGTGGGTGCGAAGCACATGCCAAGGGATAAATGACCTTGGTCAGTTTTTCTAGATCGTCATGAAGAGAATAAAACCTGCCGAGGTTTGTGCACCGTTTGTGCACCTCCACTAAGTATTGAGCTGGGGAGTGTACATGTGACAACCCCAATTCTTCACATAGTACGCTGATCAATAGATTGAGAATTTTCTGGTCATCTATTCGCCGGACTGGCGAATGGCTGACTGGCCATGTCAGCAATTTCTAATCCTCGATATTTGTGGCACCCACGTGACATCAGCTTGACACTCAAGAGTAGGCCGTACTATGCTGTGGTTTTATCTGTCCTGCTTCATGGGTTGGAGGCGTAGTCGCTGCATTCGGAAGCTCTTCGTAGACTGTTTCGTCATCGGTGCCTCTGAAGCATTACGCGGGTCTGATGGGGACATCCGATCAGTAATGTCTAGGTACGTCAGTAGGATCTCTCTGTCTGTCTGTCCTTCGATAGGACTGCTGGCCACGCTCCACAAATAGCGCTGGTTAGGTCATGTATTTCGTATGACATAGGACTGTTTGCCTCATAATTCCCACTTCGTCAAGCCTTGTGTCGACTCAGAGGCTTCGAGTTCATGACCTGACAACGAAGTATGGAAGCCCTCAACACTCACCAGTGCCGTTGGTAACTTCCATCCACATAGATGGAGAACATGAGGCAAAACGAATCAAATTTTATTGACTTTACCATATACTGTTGCGTTATGCAGCCTATGGCCGTCAGACATAGACGCTATCGCGTTCAGTGGAGATATAGGTACATCAGAAGAACCTAGCTCTAAGTCCCTTCCCCATTCACCTTCATCTTCTTCACAATAGGGCCTTCAAATAAACCATGTTGAACACTGACGTAATGCTGTCCATGATGATGACGATGATGATTACTATGTCGAGCTCGAGGAATCTCAGTGCTTAGAGCACAAATTTACTGACCAGAAGCTTCGTGGTTCGAACCGACCCTCTGCACATTGGTTGATTGTCTAAGCTTGGGTAACTTGGCAGTATTTGTTACCATGCTTTCTTCGAGAGGCATGGCCCGCTAGATTCCGGAAGGGTTTTTGCAGCTGAACGAACAACTTAATCAAGTAGGCTCGTCAAAGCCACCTTGTGGGGGGTGGCCCAGGGTCACCCAAAGATTTCCCAATTTCCTTCACGTCCTTCTGCGAAACTACACCTTAACTGCCTTAGTTTGCATCATCTCAGAGGAGTGGACACCAACAATCGTCTTAGATTTCGTGATACATAAACCAGTCTCCGTAATATAAACGGTGCTGGATATTTTCACTGACCGAATTCACTGTTGCACAAAAGAACGTCTGATTGCTGCTTTTCATGTTAATAGTATAGGAGCACTGTCCAACATCAGAAGGTCTGAGACACCGCTGATCAAACACATGGGGACCAGCTGCCCTAAGAGGGCGTTTCTAACCGTACAAGTCCCAAATAGACGCGAACCATCAGACTGATACCACGGGTAGACAACGTAAAATGACATTCAATCTATGCCGTAGCAAAAGCCCAGTGGAAGGACTTACCTGCAGGAGGGCGAAGACACCTAGCGAAGCCATGTGTTCACTAGTCCTGAGGGGCTGGAACCCAACGAATGGGACTTGCATGGACATGATCAATCCCAGAGTGAAGAAGCATGTGTACGAAACGTAGATCTTTGCCGAATATCGATTCATCAAGAGCAAGACGAACACATGCAGCGGAATAAGATTGATAATAAACACGTAACCCCCCCATGCAGAAACCATATAGAAGTATGAGACTGCGCAGGAGGCAGACCAGAAGACAGACCCCGACTTTATGGACTTAATCCATAGGTAATAGGTAAACATGAGAGCAAATATGGCAATGCCTTCATTATCATAACTTCCTGCAGAGGATCTGCTGATATACCCAGGGGCTATAAAATGAGAATCATTAGGAGCTGGTATTTACCCATCGCAATGAAGCAGGCTGCCAGAAGTCCCGCACCTCTACTCCAGATTTCCTTCGTGAAGAAATACGTGGCCACTGCAGTCATACCACTGAAAAACGGCGCGAGAAATACACAGACCTCTCGGATGTGGATCGGGATATTAAGAAGGTGAGCCAGAAAGTGAATGAAACCTATAATTATTACGACGAACCTGTGGACATAACGAACCTGATGTTATCATCAATCCTGGATATACGGTGCCACCGACTATACGCCCAAGCGGGTACCACGCAGTGCCATCAAACCAGTTGTAAAATGACTCAAAGCTATTTTCCACCATTTGTTTCGTCGCACGGTAGTTGAACCATGGGTCAAATTCATGGATCACGCTTTCAAATCGTATGACTGAGAATAGTCGAATTGAAAAACCGACAACCCATGCAATGAGAAGTGTCAAAAACGTAAGGAATCCACACCACCCGTTAATACTGGAAACCTTTGGACTGAAGAGTACTGATGGTAACATAATTCTAACGAAGCGCGTGTCACGAACGGAGTAGCCTATCCGCGCCTGCCGCGCGGTGCACGTCCAAGGTTAGGCCGGTGGTTCTGATCCAGTGGCTTGCCACGGATTCACGGATTCACGGATTGATACACAGGATCGAGGCTTTTGCCCAAGTTTCCCGGGTCGGTTTTGTTCTTGTCGGTCAGTGGCTGTCGTTCACCTGAAAGGCACAAGTGAAAAAAGGGTGTAGCACTGCTCTTTATGTTCTCAGCGAGGGGCAGTATGCTCGCCAGCGCGAGGATCCGCATAAATAAATGTCTAATAGTGCTTTAAATTGGGTTCGAGAAGGAGCATGGACAACCGTCGGAGGAAGGTCATTCCACGCAGCTACTACCCGAAATGAAAAAAGTTTTGTTCTAACGGATGTGTGTGCCCTGAGCTTGAAGATTTTCTTACTATGTCC